CCGCCGGTAGGCGCCCCCGACCGGGGCGAAAACGTCGCGATCCCGCGCTGCCGCGCCGTCGTCTCGTCCGTCTCCTCGGTCTCTTGACTCTCGGGCTTGACCCTGCTGCCGCGCGCGGGCGCGCGCCTGCCGCCGCCGCCGCCGTCGCGCTTGAGCTCGAGCACCGCGGGCGGCGGCTCCGACGGCGGATTCGCCGCGTGCGTCGCGAAGAACGCGCGCAGTCCCTCTCTCGATTCCTCAAACGACGCGCACGTTCGCATCGCCGGTCTCAACCACTTGGGCAAATTCCGCGTCAACGCGGACCCGCCGCCGCCGCCGCCGACCTGCGCGTACCGCTCGTCCGCGAGCAAGATGGCGCCGTGGTCGTTCCTGTGCCGCAAGCACCGCCCCACGGCTTGGTTCAACGCGCGAAACGCTTGCTGCGAGTACCACTGATCCCCCGACAGTAATCCGCGGTGGGCGCCGTCGTCGTTGTACGCGCGCTTGAGCTCCACTTGCTTGTCCTTCACGTTCGGGTACGGTATCCCCACGACGACGACGCCGCGCGCGTTCGCGTCCGCGAAGTCGATCCCCTCGCTGATCTTTCCGCGGCACACCGCGAGGAGTATGCCGCCTCTGGACGCGGACCCGGGGGGCGCCGCCGCGTGTCGATGCGGCGCCGCCGCGACGGAGTTTTTAATCGCCATGTAGTACTTTGTGAGGAGCGCGTCGAGGGCGTTCTCGCCGCCCGCCGCGGCGCGACCGCGGCCTCCTCGCCCGCGCCCGCGCCCGCCGCCGCCTTTTCCTCCGCCGCGTACTCCGCCGCCGGCGTCGTTGGAACTCGACCCGTTCCCGCGCGGCTCTTGAAAAATCTTCTTCCCGGTGACTTTCTCGATCCTCTCAAACTGCTTCGTCGTCCTCCACCGCTGCACGACGCGGTCGAGCAGCGAATAACTCGGAAAGAAAACCAGGACGCCGTGCGGAATATCCTGGCACCAGCACTCGATCGCGCATCCGAGGTCGTCCTGGTACTCGAACGCGCCCGCGGTCTTATACGTCCCCGATAACTTCGACCCTCGCGGCCCGCGCGCGACGGCGCCCGCCCACACTTGCTTCGTCGTCTCCACGCAGTGCGGCGCCTCCATTCGCAGCGGGAACGGCACGCCGAGCTCGGAGGCGAACGACGAGAGCGGCGCGAGGGTCCCGGATGTGAGAACGACCGACCGTGCGCCGTTCGGACCGGCGACGTCGTTGAACGCGAGCGCGGGGTTCAGAGCCCAGAGCGACAGCGTCACGGAAGCCTCGCGGTCGACGCCGCCGCCGCCGCCGCCGTTTTGGTCAAACTGCTTGCGAACGACGAGCCGGTAGTCATTCACGCCACCGGAAACCCCGCCGCGACCGTAAAACGCATACCTCGCGGACGTTAACAACAACTCCGTCGTCTTCAACGCGACGCCGTTCACGCGCTCGTGCGTCGGCGTCTTGCTATCGTTCGCCGCCTTGACCGCGGCTTTGTGCGCCTCGTCGAGCTTACCGAGCATGTCCGGCCGCATTCCCATGTCGTGAAGCTGCCGCGCGACCTGCGATCCGCCGCTCCACACGGCGAGCCACTTCTCGTAGCCGTCCGGGCGCAGAGGGCACCGCGGGTGGTCGTGGTCGCTCGCGCCGGCGAGCCACCGCGTCACGCCCGAGACGACGGCGAGCAGCGACGCGCTCGACCCCGCGTCGGGGTCGGTCGCGGACATCGACCGCGGCGGCAACGACGCGGTCGCGGGGGTGAAGTCGTCGTCGATCTCGTCGGGGGTGCCCTTCGAAGCTTCTACCCTTCGAAGCTCCTCCTCGGCGGCGCGCAACGCGCGTAAATCCACGTCGCACGACGCCGCCTCTCGGCACGTGTCCTCGACGTTGTGCGCTTCGTCTAAGATGACCAGCGCGCCTTTCAACTCAATCTCCATCGCGCGTCGAACCGACGGGTCGAGAAGGTAGTTGTACGGGCAAAAGATGAGCTCCGCGGTCGTCGCCGCGTGCTTTGACGCGAAGTACGGACACGCGCGGTGTTTCGTACCGAGCGTCACGAGGTCCTCGATGTCGATCGGATCCGCGCCCGGTCTCGCGACCGTCTCGGCCAGCTTAATCGCGCCGTGCGAGAACCCGCACCCGCCCCCGCCTCTCTTCCCGATCCCGCCGCCGGCGTCGTCGCCGGCGCCGGCGCCTCGGCCGCTCGCCTCGAGCAGCGCCTTGCACTCCTCGCCCAAGTTGCTCCCTCGCTTGGCTCGACTCCGCGCGGTTTGATTCACGCAGTAGTGCTCCCTCGACCCCAGCACGGTCATCGACGGTCGGTACGACGTCCGCTTGAGCTCCTTCACGACCTGCGCGATCTGCGAGTGCGTCCGCGTCGCGTAGTAAATTTTCGGCAGCTTCGCGGGCGGCGGCGGGCGTTTCCCCGCCGCCGCGGGCGCGTTCGCGCGAATGGCTTCGTTTTCGGCGTTTGAGTGCGATGGCGTCTCTTCCGAGCTCGACGGCGGCGGCGATTGCGTCCAACCCTGTTCGTCCGTCTTCGCGCCGCCCGCGCCGACGCCGCGTTTATCGTGATCGCGCTTCCACCGCTCTTGCCACGCGAACGCTGACGCGTTCGCACGGGGAAGGATGGGGACGGGGTGAGCGCTGGCTGGGCGGCGTTCGGTTCGGTTGAAGGGGAAACACGAGAGAGGGGGTGCCCAAATCGCGCGAGGACGCACCGGAACACAAGAGCGCGAGCGACTTCCCGCTCCCCGTGGGCGACTCCAACAGCGCGTTCTCGCCGTTGTCGAACGCTTTCAGGACCTTCCCCATGACGCCCTGCGCGATGCGAAGGCGAGGTGAGACGCGTCGGCGGCGCGGAGGGGACGAGGGGAGAGGGAGAAGAGAACGACGCGACGGAGGAGCGACGAGGCGAGGGTGCATCGAATCGAGCACGTCGTCGTCGTCGCGAGGTCGTCGCACCAGCTGCGACGCGTACGGCTTGAACGGGAACCGGACGTCGTATCCGCTGATCTTCATGTGCACGCCCGCGGCGGCGGCCGCGTCTTTCTCGCGCGCGCACGCCATGATTCGCCGACGCGCGATCGGATCGCTCGCCGGCCGCGACGACGGACGGACGATCTCGGGACGGACGAACGACGACCGCGTTCGTTCACTTCTCGGACGCCCCGACGCCGCTCGGCGCGCGCGTCATGACGACGACGCGTCCCGTGAAGTCGCGTCCCGCGCGCGCTCGCGTGGGCGGCTCGCGATGCGACGGCGCGCGCCGGAAAATCCCGTCCGCGTCGTCCGCCGGGCTCCCGCGCGACCGCGTCTTTGACGTCCCTCCGGAATCGCTCTACTCGCATAACGGAAACGAAGGACAGGACGAGTCTGCTATGATAGTGTTCGAGCGACAGCTCTTTCAAATCGTGTTTCGTTTATTTTACTCGTTCACCAACACGTTTCACCTCTACGAAGCGAACGACGCCAGCCGCTTTGAATCCGCCTCCGCGCGTTTCCTCCTCGAGTCCAACAACCCATCCAGCTCCGCGCGCAACCCCGCGAGCGCGGGCGCGTCCCGCGTCGCGTCCGCGACGTGTCGCAGCAGCGGCTCCGGGAACCACGACGACAAAAACTTGGTCCGCGTCGTCGCGTCCGCGGCGATCTCGTGCCGCCTCAACTCGGCGATGGCGACGCGCGCCGCCTCCTCCGCGCGCCCGTGCGCGACGTACGCGGATATCAACGCCGTCGGGTTCGCGCCGCGCCGCGCCATCCCCGAGGACGCGCTCGGCGCGTCCCTCCCCGCGGTGAACCGCGCGGCGAGCCACTGCGGAAGACGAATCGACGCGCTCGTCGCGAGCGTCGCACGCGCCGCCGCCTCGGCGAGCGCGAAATTTCGCGCCGCCGTGTCATGCGTCTCGAGAAAGCTCCGAAGCGCCGCCCACGCGGCCGCGGGGTCGACATCGTCTGCGGCCGCGGCGGCGTCGCCGCCGACGAGGTCGGCGGGGCCGACGCGGTCGGCCGCGCCTCGCGCCGTCGCGTCCGCCGCGGAGGACACCCCGAGAGAAAGCGCGCCGCCGCCGCCGCTGCCGCCGCCGCCGCCGCGGCGGGTCTGCGCCAGCACCGCCCTCGCCGCGAGCGTCGCCGCGATGATCGTCACCTGCTTCGTCAGCGCCTCGCCCTCGCACCAGTGCGTCGCGAGCGTCGTCGCGGTTCGAAACAGACCGTGGCACAGCGCGGACGCGACGAGGCCGGGAATCTGCTCCGCGTCGCGCGGCGCCGACGACGACGCGCCGAGACTTTGCGTCTCCGCGCCCGCGGCCAACAGCTCCGCGCGCGCGGCCGCGAGGACGTACTCGCGGAGGAGCGCGCCGAGGGTGGTGGCGTCCGGCGGCGGCGGCGTCTTGCGGCGGCGTTTCGGGTGCGGCGGCGTCTTCCGACGCGCGGCGAACCCCGTCGTCGTCGTCGTTCCCTCGCGCGGTTCCGTCTCCGTCTCCGTCTCCGTCGTCGCCGTCGCCGTCGCCGCGCCGTCGTCGCCGCTCCGTCCGAGCTCGTCCTCCGTCGCCGTGACGTCGTCCTCGTCGCGGACCGTCTTCGCGTCGACGCCGTCGACGACGACGCGGTCGCGCTCGCGCTCGACGACGCTGCGTTCTTTCGGAGAGCACAGACGCAGCGCGTTGATCGTCGCGAGCAGCGCGGCGACGTGCGCTTCGAGCGCGCGCGAGAGCCGCGCCCTCGGATCGCCCGTCGTCGGCGCGAGGGGCGCGACGACGCCGGCGACCCGCCCCGGCGTCGTCGGGCGGTACGACGCCGGCGACGCCCTCCCCTCCACGGCATCCGCGGCGACGGTCACCGCCTCGCGCAACCTGCGCGCGTGCCTCAGCGTCGCCCCCGCGGCGTCCCTCGGCCGCCCGCGCGAGACGAACAACGCGTGAAGCATCAGCGAAGGGTGCGGCGTCGCGTCGACGGGCGACGACGCCGCGCGCCCTTCCAACGCGCGCACGACCGTCGGGAGCCGGTCGTCACCGAACGGCAAGGACACGAGCGCCTCCGCGCCCTGTCGAACGTCTCCGGGCTCGCACATCGCGGCGACTAACCGTCGGATTCCAGCCGTTTGCGCGTCGGCGCCGGGGACGCTGAGCACCGCGGCGTACGCGCCGCGCCAATCGCCGACGTCGAGCGCGTACTGCAGCAAGTTGGCCCACAGACGCGCCGCGCGCGACGCTCGGCGTTCTTCCGGCGACGATCCGCTCATCGAATCGGCGTCGGCGTCGTCCGGCGGCGCGGCGTCCACCTCGCGCAGCGCCGCGTGCGCGCACTGCATCGCGCCCTCGCCGCAGCCCAAGCGCTCGAAGAAGAGCATGAGCGTCTCGTAGTACTCCAGACGCGACGCCGGCGCGGACGCGACGGCGGCGGCGGCGGGGAACCCCGACATCAACCCCCGGAGCAGCTTCACGAGGTGCTGCACGAGCTCGTCGTCTTCTCTCTCGCCGCCGACGCCGCTCGCGGCGCGGAAGAAGAGCCGCGTCGCGCGCCGCGTCGCCGCGTCGAGCGCGTCGTCGGTCGCCGCGCTCGCGACGTCCGCGCTCGCGCGCAACGCTTGCAAAAAGAGCAACGCCGGCGCGTCGAAGGCGTCGTCCGAGACGTCGCCGGGCGTGGGCGCTCGGGAGAGCTCGAGAAGCGTGCCCAGCGCGTCGAGCTCGCCGCCGGCGTAGAGCTCCGCGCCGATCTCGACCGCGCGTTTGAGCTCGTTCCCGGCGCCGCCGCCGTCGCCCGAGGCGCCGCAGACAACGTCGGCGGCGAGCGACGCGCCCGCCGCCGTCAACGCCGCGGACCCGCGCCCCCAGAAAAAACCACCGCCACCGATGCGTTTCTGCATTTCCCCGGAAGGAAGCACCGCGAACGCGAGCGGCGGCGGCGGCGACGGCGCGGCGGCGGCCGCCGCGGCGCCCGCGCACGGCGTCGCGACGAGCCATCGCGCGATGAGCGCCGTCTTATGCGCCGCCGCGCATCGCGCGAGCGTCGCGACGGCGGCCGCGGCGGCGGCCGCGTCGCACCCGACGCGCTCGCCGCCCCATCTGCACGCGCCGAGGAAGAGCAGCAACCCGCGGCACGCGGCAACACGCGCGTTCGCGTGCTGCCGCGCCGCGCGCGCCTCGACGACGCTCGGCCACGTCGTCGTCGTCGTCGTCTCCCCGGGCGGCGGCAGCGATCGATCGACTTTGATCCACTCCAACGCGTCGAGCGCCGACGACACAGCGTCCGCGGGCGACGCACCGAGCGACCGCACGAGCTTCCGCAGCGACCCCGCGAGCTTGCGCTGCGTCGCGCGGCGCTCGCGCGACGCCGCCTTGGCGACGTCGTCCATCGCCGCCCTACTCCGCGCGGTCGCCGCCGCCGTCGCCTTCCCCCCCGCCAGCGCCGTCGCCGCGTCGAGCCAATCCTCCGTCGCCACGCGCGCGTCCGAGTCGCCGCCGCCGCCGCCGCCCGCGCAAACCCCGCCGGACGCGACGAGATCCAGGGCGTGACACCCCGGGGATCCGAGGAGCGCGCAGAGGTACGCGCCGATCGTCATCGCCTTGGTCGCCGGCGTCGCCGTCGCCGGGAGCGCGAACCCGCCGCGTCGGACGCCCTTCTCCGAGCCGTACCCCGGCGCGCTCGCGGCGGCCGCGGCAGACGCGAGCGTCGCCTCGAGCGCGTCCAGCGGGCGCATGACGCCGATGGCGCCGCCTCTGGAGACGCACAGCGCGCAGCCCGCGACGGGGACGAGGCCGTTAACGGCGCGTCGAGATTTCCACGCCGCCGCGTAGGACGTCGCGAGGCGGGCCCACGCGTCTACTGAGTCGGCGCCCGCCGCGCGGTCGCCGCCGGCGGCGAACGCGATCGCGGCCGCGGCGGCGCGGTCCGCGGGCATCCCGCGCGGCGGCGCCGGGAGCTCGCGGAGGCGCAGCGCTTCACGGAGGACGACGTCGCTGCTCACGCCGTGCGCGGAGAGCTGCGCGCTCATCGCGTCCGCGATTTCCCCGGCGCCGCCGCCGCCGCCGCCGTCGCCCGCGAGGCCCAGCAGCGCGCTCGCCGCGCCCGCGGCGTCGCCGCCGCCGGCGCTCCACTGCGCGAGGTGCGACGCCGCGTCCGCGAGGTCGTCGCACGGGTGCGATCTGTTCAGCGCCTCCAGCGGCCACGCCTTGATCGTCCGCGAAGGAGCCCTCCTCGTCGTCCCCGCGCCCGCGTCGATCGAACGCGATCGAGACGTCTTCTTCATCTCGTCCCCCTCCTCCTCCTCCTCCTCCTCCTCCCTGAGCGCCCACAACACGCCGTCGCAGATCGCGATCGCGGACGTCACGCCGTCGCCGTCCACGACCGGGGAGTGGTACGTCACGCTCGCGTGGTGGGCGTCCAGCCGGAGCTGGTACACGTGCGTCGCCGTCCGCTCCGAGGATTGATCCTCGCGCGTCGTCGCCGCGAGGTATCCGTCGCCGACGCACATCGTCACCGCCTCGCGCGCTCTTTCGCCGCCGTTCGCGCCATCTCCCTGGATTTCATCACCCTCGCCGCCGCCGCCGCTCACGCCGCCGATGCCGACCGCGGGCAGCGCGGCGCCGAGCACCGCGATCGGCTTGTGCGGCGTCGACAGCTCGTGCACTTGCAGGTGACAATCCGCGCGCAGCGACGCCAGCAGCGTCGCGCCCGCGTCGTTGGGCACCTCGCACAGCGCCCGGATCTCGTGCTCGCCGCCCATACCGCCGGTGCCCGCGACCGCGTTCCATAAACGCGCGAGCGTGGGCGGTTTCAACTCGCAGGCTGGGGAGAGATCGTCGGCGAAGAGCACCGCCGTCCTGCCGCTTTTGCCGCCCACGGCGACGAGGTCGCCGCCGACGGCGCGCATCGTCGTGATCCCCTCCAGCGGCGCTAACAGCGCGGGCGACGCGCGAGGCGACGCGATCACGTCGCTCGGCGTCAACGACGCGAGGAGGCACGGGCGCCGCGAGGCGCGGACGGACGACGACGACAGCGCCGAATCGGCGTCGATTCGGACGCGGTAGAGCGCGCCGTCGACGTCCGCGACGACGAGGACGAGGCGCCTCGCGCGAAGGGTGGGCGGCGCGAGCGCCGCGCACGGCGCGAGCGCGCGCGGGAAGACGACGCGGACGGCGTGCGACTTGGACGGGCCCGGGCCGTCGCGCGCGTCCGCGGCGGCGTCGGCGCGCGTCAGGAGCGGCGTCTCGGTCAGGAGCACCGCGGCGCCGTCCTCCGGGTCGATCGACCAGCCGACGAGGCGCGTCGCGCCCGTCGCGTCGTCGACGGCGACGCCGCCGCTGACGTCGCGCGCGTTCGTGCGCACGACGCGATCGACCGCGCCGGGGGCGAGGACGACGCGGTGGGACGCGTGCTCCTCGAGGAGGACCTCCGCGAAGCCCTCTCGCGTGGCGACGCCGACGCCGTCCGCGCTCCGGCCGAAGCCCGCGAGTCGCCCCATGGGCGGAGAGAAACGACGGCGAAAGTCCTTAAGGATCGGCGTTCACCACGCCAACGCGGTCGTATGGGGACCAGTGTATAGAACTCGGACGCGATCGATCGATCGATCTGAGCGAGCGAGCGACGACGACGACGACGACGACGGCGCGCGTACCGCGCCGATCTGACCCTCCTCCGGGGGAAGACGACCGAGACGCCTCCGCGCGGACGATCCAGGGCGTGACCCGCGCGCGATGCGACGATGCGGCGGAACCCTCGACACCGGGGTCGGCGCGCGCGTCTATGCCGCGAGCGGGCGGGGGCATTATTTTCAAAAAAGCCAGACGAAAAAAGCGAGGAAACACTCGTCGCTTCTGTTCACTACGTTTCGCGGGCGGGTCTCTACGATGGACTATGAACCGCGACGACGCGCGCCGCTTCTACGCTACTGCTACGAATCACGCCACGTCACGGCAGAAACATGTGCAGGAGGCACAACACCGGGGGCGCGAGCGCGGCGGCGACGACGAACGCCTCGATGCCGTCTCTCCTCCCGCGCACTCTACCCGCGCCGCCGCGTCCCTTTGACATCTTTTCATCCTCCGCGTTGAACGCCTCCGCGAGCGACCGTCTCTCTCTCCCCGCGGTCGTCCTCGCGGCGTCGTCGACCCAGCCGACGTCCGCGCCGTAGACGACGTCCGTCCACCACCGCTCCCCGTGCGCGTTCCTCGACACCGCGTCGCGCCGCAAGCGCTCCCTGAGCTCGTCCTCGTCGACGACGACGTCGATCGAGGGGCCCGCCGCGCGTTTTTCTTCGCCGCCGCTTTGACCGCCACGGCGACGGACGGCGTCGGCGTCGGCGAAGAACTCCGTCACGCGGACGTCGCGCAGCTCCCGGTGGCGGTAATTCTCCAGCCTCGGCCTCGCCGTGGACATGATCGCCTCCTTCGACGCGGCGCGAAACAGCTCGTCCATCCGCGCGTCGGAGTCGACGTCCCTCACGCGCGCCTCCGCGAAGCCCAAAATCGCGGAAGAAAAGCGGTCGATCACCGACAGTCCCAACGCGCGGTCGACGCCGCCGCTGAACGAATTCTCGCCGCGTCGCGACGACCCGATGCTGATGACGCGCGGCGATCTGATCTCGTTCGCGAGCGTCTCCGCCTGACACGTGTCCACGATGAATAACACCTCGTTGTATCGCCCCACCGCGTGCATGTGCGACAGCGCGTCCGCGACGTCGCGCGACAGGATCTCGCGTTGGTCTTGAAACTTTAAAAACTCGTCGCCGCCGTGGCCGGTGAGATAGAACAGCACGTTGCTTCCCGCGTCGCTGCGCAACCGTTTCGACTCGGGCGTCGACGGCGGATGCTCGCCGTATAAAACCCGCAGCACGTTCTCCGGGGTGACCTCGTACCCGCGGTAGTCGATCTCGACGTCGGCGCCGTACAAGTCCGTGGCGTGCGATTCGTCCGCGAAGATTTTCGACGCGAAGACGTTCCTCGCGTCGCACGCGAAGTCGTCCGCGAGCATGAGCACGATGTTCGAGTCCGGTATCCCCAATCGCTTCACCGTGCGGTAGAACGACAGCGTGTTCGCGGCGTGGCGATAGTTGAACCAGTACCTGGACGTGTCCACGAGCACGGCCCAGTTGTTCGTGTGGTTCGACGTCGACGTCGACGACGACGACGACGACGCGAGGGAGGGTGCCGCCTCTTCGCTCGACCCGCCGCTCGACCCGCTCGCGCGCGCCGCGCTCGACGCCGCGCGTCCCGGGGTAGGCGCGAGGACGAGGAATGAGACGAGGAGGAGGAGGAGGAGGAGACGCGTCGGCGACGCGCGCGATGTCGTCATCGCGCGCGACGCCCGCGCCCGCGCCCCGAGCACTGGCGACCACGACGGCAGATTCGGAAGGGCCGGTCATAAAAATCCACTCGCAGACGTACAACTAGACGCGTCGAATCAGACGCGTCGCGGGCCGCGTCGGCGGGGGAAGTGCACTGCATCCCGCGCGCGACACGCTCGCGCGCCGCGCGCTCAACCCCGAAATGTCCTCCGGAGTCATGACGGACGAACCTTACCGTCTCGGGTGCGTCGCGATCAGTGCCCTCGCCTCGTCCCGACGCGGCGACGCGCTCGACGAGACGCGTCGATCGGCGCCCTGAATGAATGATTCGGGAACCCAGTCTTATTAACTAACCACCTCCCGAACCCTCCTCCTCCGCCCCTTCCCTCTCGCTCGCAGCGTCCGTCTCCTCTCGATCGAGGCCGGCGGCGGGAACGTCTACTGCGACTTCAGCGTCGACGGCGGCGAGGTCGTCAAGTCCAACGTCGCGGTCAAGGGCAAGTGCCTCGAGTGGGAGTGCAACCACTCGCTCTGGGTCGCGGACCCGACGACCGCGACGCTCCTCGTGAAGATCCGCGCCGCGCCGCAGATGATCCCGCGCGTCTCCTCCGGACCGGGCGGCGTCGTGCAGCCCCCGAGCAAGGGGAAGGTGCTCGGGACGATCGTGATCTGCGTCGACGAGCACGTGTGGAAGCCCGGGGACCCGTTCCCCAAGGCGCGGTGGTTCGAGGTGACGGGCACGGAGGTGCGTTCTCCTTACACTGGTTCCCATACGACCGCGTTGGCGTGGTGAACGCCGATCCTTAAGGACTTTTGCCGTCGTCTCTCTCCGCCAACCCCTCGCTTTCAACGCCCGCCCTCGATGCCTTTCAACTCCAACTGACACCTTTCAACTCCACCCCGACGTCGCTTTGTATGGAACGACCCTGAGATTCGGAAAGCCGTCCGCATGCAGCTCGTGTGCCGCAAAGCGCCGCCGGCGTCGGACGTCGCGGCGAACGAGCTCAAGGTTCTCGTCGGGACGTGGAACGTCGGGAACGCGCACCCGGCGGCGGACCTCACGTCCTGGCTCGACGTCGGCTTGGGGCCCGAGCACTCGAAAGCGGTGGCGTCCAGATGGGGCCCGGACGCGGAGTGGCCGGCGACGGAAAAGTTCGACGCCGAGCTCGACGACTGCGTTCCCACGAAGTTTGGGACGTACGACATGATCGTCGTGGGGTGCCAGGAGGGGGATTACAAAGCCAGGCCGGGGTTCGACGGCATCGACGAGGACTGGTTCTCGGTGCTCGCGGACGCGGTCGGCGACTCGTACTCGTTGCAGGTGCGTACAAACGTTTTTCACCCACGCTCGGTTTCAACATTTGATCGCTCCCCCTTTCAACTACTGACCGGTGAACTGTTTTTGTATGGAATGGCCCTGCAGTGCGTCAACGTGTTGGGGCAGATGCGCATCGCGGCTTTCGTGCGCGTCGACGCCGCGCCGGCGTTCCACTTCTGGCAGAAGTCCACGGAAGCGACCGGGATCGGGCACATCATGAACAACAAGGGCGGCGTCGGGATCGCGTGCCGCGCGTGGGACACGACGCTGTGCTTCGTCAACTCGCACCTCGCCGCGCACGACGACATGGCGTCGCGAAGAGACGACGACTTCGCGGAGATCGTCGCCGGGTGCAAGTTTGGCGAGAAGCTCGAGTGCGTGCAGGCGTTTCATCACGTCGTGTGGATGGGCGACCTGAACTACCGGTGCGAGTACGGCTTGGACGGGTCGGAGAAGAAGTTGGATCGAAAACCGACGGAGAAACGCGTGGACGACATGATCGCCAAGATCGGCTCCGAGGACGACCCCAACGGCGCGGCCGCGCGCGCGGAGGTGTTCGAGACGGACCAGCTCACGCGCTCGCGTCTGAACGGCGACGCGTTTCTCGGGTTCAGCGAGGGAGACCCCGCGAAGTCGCACATGCCGACGTTTAAGATGCTACGAGAGCCGGGGTTCAACTACAAAAAGCAACGGACGCCGGCGTGGTGCGATCGCGTCCTCTGGAAGACCGCGGAGGGGTTCAGCGCGAGGCAGACGACGCTGTACGCCGCCGGGAAGATCGGCAGCTCGGACCACAAGCCGGTCGCGGCCGGTCTGAGCCTCGAGACGGTCGCGCACCCGAACGTCGTGCACTTTGAAGACGTCGAGGACTTTGGCGAAGGCAGCGGCGCGGCGGCGCCCGCCGCCGCCGCCGCCGCCGCGACCACCGCGGGCGTCGAGCTCGAGGTGGACGACGACGAGCCGCCGACGCCGAAACCAGGGGTCAAGCGCGTCGGGTACGCCACGCAGCAGCCGCTGGGGACGTCGCGACGGAGCTCCCCGGGTCTCCTCGCGCGTCTGTTCCCGTGCGTGTGCGGCCCGAACGCCGACTTGAACTACGACGACTGCGAGTACGAGCTCGCGTTCGAATCCCTCTCCGGCCACGACCTGAAGTCCGCGGACGTGACCGGGAAATCCGACCCGTACGTCGTCTTCTCCGCGGACGCGCTCGCGCGCGCGCCGACGACGAAGACGAACGCGAACGCGCGATGGAAGACGTCGACGGTGAAGTCGACGTTGAACCCGACGTGGAAAAAAGAGGACGTTCCCGCGTTGCCTCTTCTCGTGTCCGACGGTCGCGTCCTCCGCCGCGAGCATCTCATGTTCCGCGTCATGGACTACGACGCCACGAGCGCGGACGACGCGATCGGGTACGGGCGGATGTATTTGGGGCCGCTCGGGGACGCGCTCGCGGAGGGGAAGACGGAGGCGGCGGTCGAGCTCGCCGTGCCGTTGACGCTTCACGGCAGACGCGCGGGCGAGCTGCGGGGGAAGGTGCTCGTTCGGAAGCGTAAGTAAGTAGTGTTACAGCATATTAATCTACTCTTATTCTCACGACGACGACGACGACGACGACGACTCGAGACGTTCTACTACTTGATGTTCAGGCTCTTCATCATCTTGTCGAGGAAGCCCTTCTTCGGCTCCGGCGGCGGCGGCGGCGGCGGCGCCGCCGCTTCCTCCGCGGCGATCTCCGCGACCGCGGCGACGCCGCCTTCCACCGCGATCGGCGTTCGCGATCGCGGCTCGTCCAACGACACTCTCACGCTCGCCTCCGACACGCTGGTTCGCGCGCTGCCGCCTTCGCTGCCGATCGGCGACAACGTCCCGCCGGCGTCCGCGATCCCCGCGCCGATTCTAATTCGCTCCGCCGAGTCCAGCGAGTACCTCCCGTGCTCCCTCGCGCCGCTCCCCGCGACCACCGGCGCCTCGAACACCGCCCTGCTGCCGCCGCCGCCTCCGCCGCT